CCGTCCCAATGAGAGGGTGAGGCCTCTGGTCAGCGTCCCGGAAACCAGGCAGGAGGGGCCCAAAGTCGGCTATAGGTCACCCTGGCCCTTCCTCTGCTCAGGGCCACCCTAGATTCACCTTGCTCCTTCTACCTACCCTGCCCCACCGCAAAAGCTGTTTGGCCAGGCCAGAGGTGCTAGAATGTAAGTGACATTGGGATGGTCTGAGAACTCGTTTAAGATGCAGGTGTCCGGTGTCTTTGAATGTGACAGGACTGGATCTGGAAGCTGTACTTCTCTTTTTTTTTAATCCTGACTCATTGCTTTTCAGACAGCGTGGAAAAGAGAGAGACACACATCAATTGGTTGCCTCTTGCATGCACCCCCACCAAGGCCGGGGACAAGCCTGCAACCGAGGTACATGCCCTTGGCTGGAATGGAACCCAGGTGGAAGTTTTGGCCACTGACCCAAACCCACTAGCGCTGGAAGCTGTACTTCTAACCAGTGCCCTGGGGGATCCTGACATCCCACTTCTTCACTTTGAGAAATCCTGGAGTGGGAATCCTGAGATAAAAGAGGCAGAGGAAGGGTCATCATAATTATGTAGGGTGAATCTTCCAGGCAGGCACCCATAGGGTTCCCTCCCTCAGTCCTCACTTTCCCAGGGACTGGAGGGCACACTTCAGATGATTGCCCCTTCTGTTTTAGTTACTGAGTCATCCCTTGTTGGGTATGGCATCCTTTTTTTTTTACAGAGAAAGGAAGGAGGGGGAGAAACATTGATGTGAAAGCAAAACATTGATTGGTTGCCTCCTGCATGCCCTCTACCGGGGATGGACCCTGCAGCCCAGGCATGTGCCCAGACCAGAATCGAACCAGCAACCTTTCTGTGCACAGGGCTACGCCCAACCAACTGAACCACACTGGCCAGGGCGGGTATGGCATCTTTTGATACACTGTGGCTTCTGCTCAAAATTAAACTCCCCTCCTTTTGTTTTCTTGCTTTTGTTTCAATAACATAGCAACACAAAAAGCCCTCTGTGCCCCAACACACAAAGCCACTTAAACCTGTGGGGCTTCTGTAACTTTGTGTTTCCTTTAACAGCATTTATTGAGGAATCTGCATGTCAGACACTAGGCTGAGCCTTCTCTTAGGTTAATATTACAGGTCCACAAATCCCTGAGGCCAGGTGTGTTTTGGAATGCAAAATGTGTCAGACTTTAGAAAACTAATAACATGTAACATGTAACACCACCCATGGATCTGGGACATCAATAATCAAACACATTAATATTTTTGTCAAGAAATATATGGATATTCACACTTAGAGGGGAAAAATGGGTCAGACCAGATTTTTCTGCCAAATGAGTTTTACATGTAGATACCCAGTTGTCCCATTTGTTGAGAAGACTATTCTTTCCCACTGAATTGTTTTGCACCTTTGTCAAAATCAATTGACTATAAATGTGAGGGTTTATTTCTGAATTCTCAATTCTATTCCATTGATCTATGTGTCTATCCTTATGTATATACAATACTGTTGATTACTGTAGCTTTGTAAGTAAGTTTTGAAATTGGGAAGTATAAGTCCTACAATTTTATTTTGATTGTTTTGACTATTCTGGGTCTGGGGCATTTCCATGTAAATTTTAGGATCAACTTGTCAGTTTCTACAAAGAATCCAGCTGGGATTCTGATAGGGATGGTGCTGAATCTGTAGATCAATTTGGAGAGTATTGCCATTTTATCCACATTAAATCTTTGGATCTATGGACATGTAATATCTTTCTACTTACAGGGTGGGGCAAAAGTAGGATTGCAGTTGTTCATATGGAAAGTAATAGAATAATTCATAAATAAGAATACAAGAATAAACTGTTTTGTGTACTTACAACTGTAAACCTACTTTTGCCCAACCCTGTATTTAGGTTGTCTTTAATTTCCTAAAGAAGCTGAGGGAAGAAAGGAAAAAGAAAGTGTATATGCATAATATTTGTTATATTGACATTCTTATTTACTACGTCTGATTCTCTTCATTTGTTCCTGAAGGTTTGAGTTACCACTTGGTGTTATTTTCTAGTTCAGTACAGTTTTGTTCCCTCCCACCTCCTTTGTGCTGTTATTTGCATGTATATCACACTTCTTTTTTTTAATCCTCTAACTGAGGATATTTTTTCCATTGCTTTTCAGAGAGAGTGGAAGGGAGAGTGAGAGAGAGAGAAACATCAATGTGAGAGACATATTGATTGGTTGCCTCCCACACAGGCCCCAACCAGGGCCAGGGATTGAGCCTGCAACCATAGTACGTGCCCTTGGCCAGAACTGAACCCAGGAACCTTCAGTCCAATGGCTGCCACTCTAATCACTGAGCCAAACTGGCCAGGGCAGTATATCACATTTCTTTATGTTACATGCCCAATAGTACAATTTCGTACATATTGTTTTATACAGTTGCTTTTTAAATCAACTAAGAGACAAAAGAAGAAATATGCATTTATACTGTCTTCTTTTTTTTAAAATATATTTTTAATGATTTCAGAGAGAGGAAAGGAGAGGGAGAGAGATAGAAACATCAATGATGAGAGAGTCATTTATAAGCTGCCTCCTGCACGCCCCCGACTGGGGATCGAGCCCGCAGCCTGGGCATGTGCCCTGACCGGGAATCGAACCGTGATCTCCTGTATCCTAGGTCGATGCTAAACTGCTGAGCCACACCCGGCAGGGCTGTCTTTTATATTACATAATTACCTTTACTAGTGTTCTTTGTTTTTTTTCATGTAATTTAGAATTACTGTTTGGGATCACATACTTTCAGCCTGAAAAATTTCCTTTAGTTTTTCTGGTAAAACAGGTCTGTTGGCAGTGAATTCTTTCTGTTTTTGGTTACCTGGGAATGTCTTTATTTTGCTTTTATTTATTTATTTATTTATTTATTTATTTATTTATTTATTTATTTAAACTTGTTGGGGTGACATTGGTTAATATGAACATATAAGCGTTATTTTTGAAAGGTAGTTTTGTTGGATATAGGATTCTTAATTGACAATTTCCCCCCTAGCACTTTGAATATGTCATCCTGTTGCCTTCTGGCCTACATTGTTTCTGATGAGAAGTCAGCAGTTTATCTTATGGGGAGGCTTGTAAGTGATGAGTCATTTTTCTCTTGCTGCTCTCAAGATTTTCTCCTTGTTTTGGTTTTCAGCACTTTTGGTATAATGTGTCTGTGTGTGGATCTCTGCATTTATCTCTACTTGAAGTTTATTGAGCTTCTTGGATATGTTAATGTTTTTCTAAATCACATTTGGGACATTTTTATCCATTCTTAGCATCTTTTTTTCTGCTCCTTCTCTCCTGGTACACTCATTATGCCTATGTTGGTACACTTAATAGTGCCCTACATTTCTCTGAGGCCCTGTTCCCTTCATTCTTTTTTCTCTGTGTTCTTTAGATTGTATAATTTCTATTGATCTATCTTCAATTCACTAATTATTTATTCTGTCAGTTCAAATCCACTGTTTAACCCCTCCAGTGAATTTTCATTTCAGTTATTGCACTTTTCAACTCCACAATTTCCATTAGATTCTTTTAATGATTTCTATCTTATTATTAATATTTCCTATTTGGGGAGATGTTGTAATCATGCTTCCTTTACTTTAAGCATAGTTTTTTTTAGTTCTTTGGACATATTTATAGTAGCACCTTTGAAGTCTTTCTCTCTTAAATCTAACACCTGGTCCCTCTTTCAGGCAGTTTCTATTGCCTGTTATTTTTATTTAAAAATTTAAAATATTTTTAAACATTATTTTATTTATTGATCTTAGAAAGTTGGAGAGAGGGAGAAACATCAATTTGTTGTTCCACTTATTTATGCATTCATTTGTTGCTTCTTGTATGTGCCCTGTCTAGGGATTGAACTTGCAACATTGGTGTATCAGGATGATGCTTTAACCAACTGAGCTACTTGGCCAGGGCTGCCTGTTTTTTTTGTTTTGTTATGTTATGTTATGTTATGTTATGTTATGTTATGTTATGTTATGTTATGTTATGTTATGTTATGTTGTTATGTTATTTTTCCTGTGTGTGGGTTACACCTCCCTGTGTCTTTACACATCTTGTAATTTTTTTTTGATCCTCACCTGAGGATATTTTTTCTTTTGATTTTTAGAGAGAGTGGAAGGGAGGGAGGGAGAGAGAGAAACATCGATATGAGAGACACATATCTATTGGATCTATTGGTTGCCTCCCATAGGAGCCCTGACCAGGGGCTGGGGTTCGAACATACAACTGAGGTACGTGCCCTTGACCAGGAATTGAACCCGTGACCCTTGGTCTGTAGGCGGACACTCTAACCACTGAGCCAAACTGGCCAGGGCCATCTCATAATTTTTTGTTGAAAACAGGACATTTTAGATGATATGTTTTAGCAACTGTGGATACTGGCCCCTCAACTCCCCCCTCCCCTGTGCTTGTGATTTTTAAAAAAATATGTTTGTTTTTTTAATTGGTTTGAGAGAGAGAGAGGAAAGAAGAGAGATAGAGAGATAGAAACATCAGTGATAAGAGAGAATCATTGATTGGCTGCCTCCTGCAAGCCCCCTACTGGGGATGGAGCCCACAACCCAGGCATATGCCCTGACTGGGAATCAAACTGTCAACCTCTTGGTTCATGGGTCAGTGCTCAACCACTGAGCCACACTGTGCCTTGTGATTTTTTTTTTTTTTTTTTTTTTTTTTTTTTTGCTTATCTATTTTTTTAGGGACTGACTGGACCATTGTAGTAACATCTCTTTCTGCAGTATGAAGTCTCTGACATCACTCCTCAGAGGGCCCAACCTGGACATGTGCACAGTCAACTTGGGACACTGGGGTTTTAGGGGAGGCTATCTTGCTTTCTTTTTTAAATATGTTTTTATTGATTTCAGAGAGAGGACAGAGAGGGAGAGAGAGATAGAAACATTGATGAGAAACATTGATCAGCTGCCTCCTGCACACCCCCTACTGGGGATCGAGCCCGCAACCTGGGCATGTGCCCTGGCAGGGAATGGAACTGTGACCTTGTTCATGGGTCGACACTCAACACCTGCTGTGTGGGGGGGACTATCTTTGACTGTGCTTTCCCTGATCATATCCACCTGTTGGGCTCCCCCAATTGTTGGCTGTCTTCTCTATTGTTTTTGTCCTGGAGCATCAATTGCTCCATAGACTGATCCAATTAAATTTGGGCTCCTTTAACAGGGTAGCTTTTGAGTTCAGTGTTTGAAGTTTGTTCTCACCCCAGGAAGGTTCTTCTTATCTGTCTCTTTATCTGGTTCTCTCTGGTAAACTAACTGGCCCATGGTTTAGCTTGTTGCAATAATGGAGGCACAAGCCTCCTATTTGCTTACCACCCAAACCTTGATTGATTTTTGAGAGCACCTTTAAACTTGAACTTCCCATATTGTTTCAAGTTAAGTCTTTTTGGTTTTAGTTTTAGTTTTTGCTTGGGGAGCTTCAAAGCTACCTGTTTTATAACTTTCCTGTCCCCCAGGAAGAATCTCTGAGCTGCAGCTCTGTAGCTGGGGATAGTGACAGTTAAGCACATCTTCTTGAACGACACTGCTGCCTGGGGGGGGGCAGCCTCTGGGCCTTCTCAGCTTGCCTCTCCCACTGTGGAACCTTCTTCCTAGGAATGAGCTGGGGCTTAAGCAACTGGGCTACAGTATTCCTAGCCTGCTGGACCTAAGGCAGAGCTTCCAGCTTATGAGTAGGGGCTGGTGGAAGGAGGGAGCCCTGGCCTCTCTGCTACATTCAGCTGGAACATGGAGTTGAAAGTGGAACGCCACTACATGAGTTTTAGCATGACAACTATGAAAAAGGAAGCAAGAAACTTTTGGAATCAGACCTTTTTTTACTTTGGAATTGGATATGAGGGAGTGTGGGCCTGTGTGACTATTTCCCCCTTACAGTCTTGGAACAGATTGCATATCTTAAGGTCAAATAGCAGCTGCAACAATGCAGGGATGTATGCACAGGCAGTCTGGCTCCAGAACCTGTGGTTTAACCTCTTCTGAACTGTGGGAGCCTCTGGGACATGGACCCATGCATTTCAGTTTATGTTTCTATGACCTCCAGGTACAGACGACTGTTCAGGTGTGTATATATTTGTCTTCTGTTTTTCCCCGCCAGGTGCTTGTGTCTCCACGGCCTCCATGTTTAAAGCAGAACATGTGTGCAGAGTAGACGCGGCTTTCTTCCACAGCCTTTCTGGGGCCACAGGACAAGGAGCTGTTTGAGTGAACATACTGTTCTGTACTCTACCTCTCAGGGCCTCCTGTGCTAGCCATGCCTGTGCCCACAGAGGGCACTCCGCCACCCCTGAGTGGCACCCCCACCCCAGTCCCAGCCTACTTCCGCCATGCAGAACCTGGTTTTTCCCTCAAGAGGCCCAGGGGGCTTAGTCAGAGCCTTCCGCCCCGGCCCCCTGCCAAGGGCAACATCCCCATCAGTCGCCTCTTCCCTCCTCGGACCCCAGGCTGGCACCAGCCCCAACCCCGAAGGGTATCATTTCAAGACAAAGCCTCTGAGATCCTACAGAGCCCCAGTTATGACCCAAGCCGGCAGGAGTCCTTCTTCCAGCAGAGTTTCCAGAGGCTTGGCCGCCTGGGCCATGGCTCTTATGGAGAGGTCTTCAAGGTGAGTGGAGTGACAGCTCTATGAGCCTGTCTGGGGGTGCCCCCTTACCTCCCTCCCCCACCTGGATGGGATAGTATCCTGGACAGCCTGCTCCCCTTCTCTCCTGACAGCCTACCTCTCCTGGGCTGACAGACACTCCTCCTCAATGTTTGGTTTGGCTGCTTTCAGTGTTTGATTTGCCCCCCCAGGCCCCGTAGAGGGCCCCCTCAGTGCATAGTCTCCCCTTGTCCAGAGCCTGGCACTCCTGGCAGTGGCTCCTAGCTACCATCTCCTCCCACCCTGGAGCCAGCTGTGCTGGGGTTCTTGGCAAGCTCTGCCTGGCCCCCAGAGTGCAGTGCATACCCTGTCCCGCGCCATCCCCCAGGCCATAGGCACTTAGGCTATACCCTGTACACCACCTTTTTTATTTCTTAAAATATATTTTCCAATAATTTTCTTTAAAAAAAGGTAGTTTTCCTTACAAAAGTACTACAAATAACATGGGCCCCTAGATTAGCTCTTCTTCCCAGAGGAAACCACTGGGCTTCTCAGGTGGGCATCCTTCCTTCCAGAACTTTCTCTATACATCTCTAGAATTGACCATATAGAGACAAACCCATTCATATTCTACACAGTGGATCACACTGCTGTGTTCTGTAGCCAGCTTTTTTCACAATAGTCTGAGAGACCCTCTGCATTAGTACTTAGAGGTCTGCCCTATCTCTTCCTTGCTTGGGCCTCCAGTGAACTAGTGCCTGGGGTGGAGGTCTGTCAGGTCTTGCTATTGCATGTGCAGGAGTGTCTAGGGTAGATGCTACACCTTCCACACAATCTTAACAGAATCTGCTGTTCTGCTAAATGGTTGTGCTACCTCCCACCCCACCTGCAAGCACTGTCTCCCTTCCAGGTACGTTCCAAGGAAGATGGCCAGCTCTATGCAATAAAGCGCTCCATGTCGCCATTCCGGGGCCCCAAGGACCGAGCCCGAAAGCTGGCTGAGGTCAGCAGCCATGAGAAGGTGGGGCAGCACCCATGCTGTGTGCGGCTGGAACGAGCCTGGGAGGAGGGTGGCATCCTGTACCTGCAGACAGAGCTGTGTGGGCCCAGCCTGCAGCAGCACTGTGAGACCTGGGGCACTGGCCTGCCTGAGGCCCAGGTCTGGGGCTACCTGCGGGATACCCTCCTCGCTCTGGCCCACCTGCATGGCCAAGGCCTGGTCCACCTTGACATCAAGCCTGCCAACATCTTTCTGGGGCCCCGGGGCCGCTGCAAACTGGGTGACTTTGGGCTGCTGGTGGAGCTGGATGCATCTGGGCCTGGTGAGGCGCAGGAGGGAGACCCCCGCTACATGGCCCCCGAGCTGCTGCAGGGCTCCTACGGGACAGCAGCCGACGTGTTCAGGTAAGGGCAAGGCCATGGGGGCGCCTTCCTGGCTGAGTTGCAGTCAGCAGAGGGAGGGAAATGCCACCCTAACCCAAAGTCAGGAAGATTTGGCCTCAGGCTGAGAGACAGTGCCCTGAGGGAGTGAAGGGCCCACCCTGTAGTTGAGGGTGGTCTACAGTCAGGCTTTCTAAGCAGCGAATCATTTGGAGCTGCCCTACTAGATTCACTCATCTTTTTACCGCATCTCCATGGAAGGACTAATTTCCATTTATAGGAGAATGGGCGTAGTGGGGTTATGGGACTTGCCCAAAGTCCACAGTTAGCAGGTGGTGAAGTTGGGACTGGACCAGGCACTGGGTTCCATGGTCCATGCCGGTAACCATTGCTCTGCCTCTAACAATCTATCTAGCTATATCCACAGGACCCTGACAGTAACCATAGTGTCCATCTGGTGGGGATGCCAGGAAGACTCACCACAGTGGTTTGTGGGTTGTGCTGGGCACTGCATCCTGGACAGCCTGCTCCCCTTCTCTCCTGACAGCCCACCTCTCCTGGGCTGGCAGACACCCATTGAGGGGCTGACATGTTCCCTTCATTGGCCCTTCTGGGACCTTCTCAGAGCCCCCAGCCCCTCCTTCCCCACCTCCCTGGCTCATGGTAGAAGACAGTAGCTCTTTTCAGCCCTCCTCTCAGGGGCATCCTAGGGCTCTAGGATCTGTGGCCCAAGGTCAACCTTATCTGTCTGCTGTCCCTGTCTCCATCCCCCCCAGTCTGGGTCTCACCATCCTGGAAGTGGCATGCAACATGGAGCTGCCCCATGGTGGAGAGGGCTGGCAGCAGCTGCGCCAGGGCTACCTGCCCCCCGAGTTCACTGCCAGTGAGTGAGGGGCAAGGATGGGAGGGGACGTGGTGCTATAGACTCATGTGAGAGAGAATGGCTGGCTGAGGGAGACTGCTGGGCTCACAGCCCAGTTACCCTTGACATGGCCCTGCCCCATGGATAGGCCTGTCTTCTGAGCTGCGGTCTGTCCTCATCATGATGCTGGAGCCTGATCCCAAGCTGCGGGCCACAGCTGAGGCCCTGCTGGCCCTGCCTATGCTCAGGCAGCCACAGCCCTGGAGTGTCCTGTGGTACATGGCTGCTGAAGCCCTGAGTCGAGGGTGGGCCCTGTGGCAGGTAAGCCTGGTAAAGGTAACAAGCTGTTCTACCCTGCTCCCTGGCCCTGGGTTCTGCCCAGCCTCCTTTGGCCCCCTGTCCCCATAGGCCCTGCTGGCTCTGCTGTGCTGGCTCTGGCATGGGCTGGCTCACCCTGCCAGCTGGCTGCAGCCCCTGAGGCCCCCGGCTACTCCTCCTGGCTCACCGCCCTGCAGCTTCCTCCTGGACAGCAGCCACTCCAGCAACTGGGATGACGACAGCATAGGGTGGGTGAGAGCTCAGGACTAATGGGCAGGGGTGGGGAAATGGGCTGTCAGCATGGCTAAACCCCATACAAAGGCCAGGCTCCATGGGGACTAGTGGTGCACAGGGACCCCTCCCACAAACCTGGCCCCCACCATACCCTGGGAAGGGCACCAAGACTGGTGGGAGTACAGCCTGGTTTGACTGCAGCTGTTTCTTCTAAGCTCAGAGTATGGAACGGCTGCTGTGCTCTGCACAGCAGAACTGGCAGTTTCACACTTAGAGCACGGGCACACTAGGGAGAAGTAGGTGGTGCAGCCTCAATCCCAGTCAAGGCTGCCAGTGCCGAAGGACAAGGCATTGTCCTTTTTAGGGGACAAAGTTCCCACAGCCTGGCAAGCCCCTATCCTGGAAGGAATTCCTTAGTCCCAGGTGCCTGGTGGCCAAGTGAGAGTCTGTAATTAAGAAACTGTGGCAAAGGAAAACCACATGCTCAGGGCAGACAGTTCTCAGGAGAAATCACACCATTAACCCCTTCCTTATGAAAATGTCATCCTGTTGTTGCCCAGCTGGGTGGCTCAGTTGGTTGGAGCATTGTCCTGTACACCAAAAGGTCTCAGGTTCGATTCCCAGTCAGGGCATATACAAAGGTTCCAGGTTCAATCCCCAGTTGGTGCCCATGTGGGAGGCAACCAACCAGTGTTTCTCTTTCACATCGATAATTTTTTCTCCGTCTCTCCAAAAACTTCAATGAAAAACATACTCAAGTGAGGATTAAAAAAAAAGAAAATGTCACCCTTGTCATAGGGACACTTGATAACAGACATGAAGTGTGAGATAAGCTTCATTTACCACAAGTTCACTTTAAAGCCAGCTCATTCAAAGCCCATATGTTCTGAAAAGGGACAGAGGTGGCCTTTGAGTGTGATCAGGTAGACTTTAAAAGTTGTAAAAATGATTCTTTCAAAGGGCACCACACTTTCACTGCCTACAACTGTGGCCCCTGCCTGTGTCCAGCAGAAGCCTACACAGGGACAGGGTTGATCTTGCTGTTCCCATAGCCTCCTCCCCATGCACTCCCCATCGCGTGATACCCTGCTTGTCTTGCTCACCCCGTGTAGGCCCTCGCTCTCTCCAGAGGCCATCCTGGCCAGGGCTGCCAGGAGCACCTCCTCCACTCCCCAGAGCAGACACACACTGAGGTGAGTAGGCCCAGGGTTAGAGGTAGGGAGGGGGTGTCCTTTCAAATCCTGAGTGTAATTTCTCTCTTTTTCTTTTCCTTCCCCCCAGGGATACCCTAGACCTAAGTGACATTGACTCTGAGCCCCCTCAGGGCTCCTTCCCCTCCTTTGAGCCTCGGAACCTCCTTAGCCTGTTTGAGGACTCACTGGGCCCAACCTGAGCCCATTCCAGCTGTGGTGCTTTTAACCTTTTAGCTCCTTCCCCTGTCCTGGAGGCTAGATGGTCCCTTCTGCCTGGCCATATCTAATAAAAGGTATCTGAATCTTGGGACCACCCAAGCTTGCTTGCATGGCAACACAGTGCTTCCTGCCCGTTTTATTGACGTCGTCTGAGGGCCCTAGGATGGGCTGAAGCTGAGCCCTGCTGCGGGGCTCCAGGTCAGCAGATTGTAGCTAGGGGCCCCACACAGTGTGGAACAGAGGTTTCCTGAGCAGGTGCATCCCCAGTAGGCAGGTTGAGCCATCAGAACATGGCACTCAAAGTGGAGGGTGGGCCCGCAGCCCAGTGGTCCAGGTCCACTCAGCTCTTTACATCTGTGCCAGTTGCCTGGGAAAAGCAGCAGCAGTCCTCCTACCCCTTGGTCCTGAGATAAGGGGATAGTTCTGCTGCCAAACCCTCACTCCAATCTGGACAGAAGGGAGAAGGGGTGAGTGAGCCTCAGGTTGCTGAGAGGGCTGGCATGCAGGGCCAAAAGATGGAGGTCAGGAATCGTAGGCTGGTGGCTGGGCCAGCCACCCACAAGGTACCTTAAGTGAGGGTCTGAGGAGGGGCAGGGTGGGGCTCTGGCTCTTGGATGGCAAGACTCCAGCTGTCAGAGCAAGACTGACCCCAGCGTCCCTCTGGCCCAACCCTCACAGGTCACAGGGTAAACTGAGGCCCTGAGGAGGATTAGTTTCCTTCTAGCCTGCACAGGAAGACAGTGCCCTGGAAGAAGGCAGGGAAGGAAGCTGGAGCTCCAAGGTGTGGGTAGGAGGAGAGGCTCATCCACAGGAAGAAAGGGTGAACAGACAAGGGCTCCCAGCTGGGAGGCATCCAGGGAGCCAGCCCCTTGCAGACCAGCAGAAGGAGGAAAGCCTGGTGTTGGCCCTAGAAGACTGGGCAGGCTGGCATGGTGTGTGGGCGGTGGCTCAGTCTGGGGGACAGGCATGGTGGGCGGCCCAGAGCAGGTCAGGCACGACGCCAGCGTGTAACTGCAGGATGGAGCCCACACTGAGCAGGTGCATGATCTGGTGTGAGTTGCCCCAGTAGTCGAAGCGGCCTGGTCCCCAGCGCTCTGGCAGGCGGGCCACGTTCACTAGCCCCCCAAGCAGTGCCAGGGCATCCATGCGCAGGTAACAGGGCAGGGAGCCCGGAGCTCCAGAGCCCAGTCCCACTCCCCGGGCCCCAAACACCAGAAGGCGGGCACCAGCCTGCCAACCAAAAGCTCGGAGTCGGGCACTGGTGGAGGGAGCAGTGAGGGCCCTCCAGCCAGCCACACCTGACAGCATGGTGTAGCCCACCAGGGCAGCTGGACGCAGCCAGGGCCTGCAGGCCAGGGTGCAGTGGATGATGGGCAGGGCTCCTGCACAGAGGAGAGAAGCAGGAGAGGGCACATCAGTTTGGGGGACTGCCTGCTCTTTCATGTGAGCATCCCCTCCTGCCCCCTCCCTAGCCCCCCAGCTTCCATTCTTCTAGCCCCTACCCCATCCTTTGGCTCACCGAGGGTGTTGACGAGGCAGACCCCACACATATCCAGGGCAAGGAGCCGAGTGTACACAGGGCTGCCCCCTTGGTGGCACATGAAGAGATGGTAGAGCACAGAGCCTGCAGGTGGTGCCAGGCAGGCCACACAGTGTGTGCCCCCCAGCCAGCCATCCTTGCCCAGCTGACCCCAGGGCATGGTCATTGGCAGCAGCACCAGGAAGCCCAGCAGGGCCAGCCCTGGGGAAGGGAAACAGTTATCCATCACACAGCTTCAGCACAGAGGACAGGTCATGTCCTCAGGGAGTCCACATTCTAGAGACAACATGAGAAGAATGAGAGCAAGACAAGTCTTGACCACAGTGATAGACAACTATTGCCAGACCTGGGACAGAGGCAGGCCCTGGGCTTTCAGGAATTTTACTTACTCAGCAGGCTCACAATAGTTGTGGAAGTAGAAGAGATCATTATCCCCACTTTGCAGGAGGAAACTGAGTAACCTGTCCCAGGTGACTCCAGCAAGTAGTAGAGCGCCCAGGCAATCTAACTCCCAAGCTGCTCTCACCCCTGCAGCCACATTACATCTCCCGGGAAAGCAAGGGGTCCCAAACCCCCAACCTGGTCTCCATGTGTCAGCAGAAGCCAGAAGGAGGTGTGACTCAAGCTGAATTCTGAAAAGGACATGTGGGCAATAATACCAGATCTCAGGGCCCCTTAGCTTGTTCCTCACAGCCCCATGTCTTCTCTCCACAAGTGACCAAACAAATGAAGGCTTTGGGCCCTTCTGTCTTCCAAAAGGGGCTAGGCAAGGCTTGGAAAGTGGGCAGAAAGAAGATTGTTCCATCTCCCCTGGCACCTCTGGGAGCTCAATTCCTCCAGCCCAGTCGTCCTACCCCTCTCTGCTGGCACTCTGGCATTGCGCTCACAGGGGTCAAAGGTGGGCACTGCATGCTGGGGTCTCTGGCTGCCCACTATGGGCAGGGCCTGGCTAGGCCAGTCCTCCAGTGAGGTAGGTACTAAGGCTGGGCCCAGCCTGCTCAGGGGCACTCTCTTGGCCAGGGCAGGCCAAGGACGGACAGGGCTGTGTCAGCACAGCTCCTCGGGACTGCGGAGGAGGGGCCGGTGCCTGTGGGGCGG